TTTTTTTTTGGCGAAAGTCGAAACTAGTTTCGACTTTCGCCTTTTGCGAAACCTCTAAGTTTCGCCTAACAACACTACCTGGATAGTCTACATTACGTCGAGACTATCACTAATTATTCTGCTAAACTGCAGTATTCCTCACTACGTCGGGAATTACTGGCAAGCGGGTTGGGGTTCATTATTGTTATGGGTTAGGTTTATTCTTTAACAATGGTTCTCTACAATCACTCGCAGACGAACCCTTAATTCGATTTTTGTAAGGGTAATGGAATCCGATTTATAACTTGAGCCGAATTACACGATATTTATACTAATTTATTATTTATTTTTAGGGTGCCCCATATATCCATTATCACGATTATAACGATTATAATGCTTATATGCAATATTAGCATTATAATCATTATCGGCATTATAAGCACTATTAGCCCAAGTATAATAAGAGATTTTCATAGCTGGGAGGGCGTGACTTGAAGATTACACGACGAAATTGGTTACCCGTAGATCACGTGTTCCGGTCTAACAATATCAAGCATTTGAGTGGCAGGTTTTTACATGATTTTGTCATCTTGAATGAGAGATAGCTTATGACAAATTTGCATAATTGATTCGATTTCGGTTCTATTTAACGCTACTTATATTATTTGACAACTTTTCCTTCCCATTTCATGTCAGGATTAACGTGAAATATCAAATAATGTAACGACAATTTGTACCGTACAGCGCGGCATATAGTATCCGGTGTGACACGCTTTTTTACAACGTAAAAAATACAAATAAATTACGGATATTTGATATCACATGATCGTATAACTAACATTTTAAAAAATTGCTCTACATTATTTGTCACGCATGGTACGATATGAGCGCTGTATACAGTAAATGGCACTATCCTAATATGTATACGTAGCATAAATTCTAGCTATGATCAATTTACAAAGAGGCCAAACGCAACGCAATCTCATATTGATCACTAATACAGTAATACAAAAGTCAGAATCCCGTATAGAGTAATTTACGTGATAATTAAAACGTACATCATTTAAAGTCAAATATTTAAACTATCAACCCACGCACAAATCAAAACCAAATACTGAATGTCAATCCCCGCACATACCAAAATACACATTACTAAAACACGAAATTTTAGAAGTCCCAATAATTCACACGCAATCCTCTGCCAAAGTCACACAGTGTACATAAATATATAACAGGCTTCAAAATATGTTCCAAACAGAAAAAATTGATAACCAGAAGAAATATAGGCTACCAAAAAGTTGAACAAAACCACATTTCATGTACATAAAAATTTACTATTAAAAATCATATGACTGATAAAATATATAAAAAATTTTACAATGATCTTTTCCAAACAGGAGGAAACGTTGATGTTACACAATTGATTTTACACGCGGTGTGAAACACAAAAATTATTTTACAATACTTGATCAGTCCGCTAGTAGATGTTATGATTATAATCCAACATCATTTTTATTATAATAAAAATGATGTTGGATTATAATCATAACATCTACTAGCGGACTGATCAAGTATTGTAAAATAATTTTTGTGTTTCACACCGCGTGTAAAATCAATTGTGTAACATCAACGTTTCCTCCTGTTTCTTTTCCATTTTACCAAAAAGGAACCTGAACTGGAATATTGTGATTATAAGGAGTCGAAACATATTTAAGGGGAATTTATAAATAAGGGCCCGGAGAGTGAGAATACGGGCCTAAATTAAAAATAACTTCATATAAGGGCCAAATCTATTGGTGGCTAAAAAACACGATCACGGAATTTCTGCGCCACAAAATACTATAACCGTTTGACTTATAACGATAGTAAATTGTGATTATATGATTATCTATTGTCAGATAAGAGAATGAATGAAGAGCTGACTATAATCATCGCTTAAATATTGTATAAAAAATAACGTGAAACTAGCACAATTATTTATAAGACGAAGTTTCAGTAGAGTAGCTCTCTAGATGAACGAATATCTTCCATATTGGCTTATAATAATATGCAATTTTATACAAAGAAAATGAAATTTATTAACTTTAAAAATTTTCTTTACTCGTTTATAATACTAATTTACAATCCCTATTTGTTATCGGAGCTTACATTTCTTATGCTAATAACGATCAAGCCACAGGCTTGAATAACGTTGCCCCCTAATATGTAATATTTTTAAAAAAAATTTAATTTGGGTCCGTATTTGTAATTATTTTCATTTTCTGGGTCCTTATTTGTAAATTCCGTAGATTTAAATATGGACAAATATTATCAAATGTCAGCAATGTTGAAGTTGCAAATTATAAAGCTATTGAATTAAAAGCAACATTGGTAAAGGTACTATTCGTTTACCTTATTATTAATAAAAATTAATTTATAGATGTTAAATATTACAGGCCGAACGAAGCCATATCGGGCTCCTATAAGATATTAATATAGATGTTAAAGTTTATTGAGAAATCTAACCTTTTCTTCGTTTAAACGTGATTGAAATGATTTGAACCTATTACAAAAAAAAAAAAAAATTATTGTAAATAATTTATAATATTTCAAGTACAAAAACTTCAAGAAAGATATATATGTGGGCGTTTAAATTATTTTTAAAAAAAGTAATTAGTCAAAAATTTCGCCATTGTCATATTTTTATATATTTTATATATTGAGTTATATTTACCTTAGTTATATTTTCAAAAAAATTAGAGAATAAAAGGGTATTTTGATAATTTTTCCACTTATTAAAATTAATTTCATCAACTATCAAAAACCAATTTCGAAAGATTAATAGTCAAAATGGCAAATAATTATTTATTATGAGAAGTAATTTAGAAAACCCTGAATAGAAAGACATGGAATGGGAAAAATCGAATACTTTTTATTGACAATAGTTTTAAATGTCTTTTTTTAACCATTTTTATTATGAATGCAGTGTTAGTAAAAAAGAATGTAACTAGCAATTATTATTTTTAATAACATTTGAATCGCATTAATGAGATGATTAAAATCATAGGCATTCAATTACTTTATTTTATTTGTACATTACTTTATTACAAAAAATTATATAAATAAGCTATTACGTATATCAATCAATCCTATTTGATTACCAATGTTTAATCAGTTTCCCATAAAAAAATACTACTACCTCATGTTATATATATATATTATAATATACAAAGTGCTTAGTAATCAATTTAACATTATATATAATATATGTTATATTTATAAGAGACGTCTGCGATATTTTTATTGGTAATGCTAGCTTTGCTGTTTCCCGAAAGTATCCCAAAATTTATGAAAACAGCTGTAAATCCGGATTTAATCATAAATCTGGGTTCAATCATAAGATCCAGTTTTACAATGAAATCTAGGCTTAGATAAACTATGTATCTGAACCCAAATTTTTGAATTGAAGTTAGTGTGCCTGTATATTTAAATCCGGATACAGTATTATCTAATGGTTAAATCCGGATTTAGATATTAAATTAAATATTAAATTAAATATTAAATCCCGATCTAATGACTAAATCCGGATATAAGTGATTAATTCGAATCCAAGTATTAACTATAATCCTATCATTCATTGTTTTCTTTTCTTAAACCTTCCAAAAAAAAAATTTGTCGGTAAAATTTGTCCGATTTTTTTGCTATATCAGGCTATTTATTGTAGATCTAAATGAAAAGGCGAATTTCTTTACCATTACTAATCAGAACAGAATTTTGAAAAATAGATTATATATCATAACTTGTTTTATGAATAATCAGTTGAAATTTCATGGCGCAATATGCATTTCACCATAAAAATTATCATTGTAAACCTGGAATTAACATTTTAGGATCGAAGACAATAATTAATTAATTACGCGATGTTGTCACCCAAAACCAAGAACGGAAGGTGAATTCTCGAATAAAGTTGCAAATGCTAGTTTACTAATAGTTTCAACCTGAGTTTTTCATTAGTTATTTATACGTATTTAATTTCATCAAATTCATCAACATTCTCTAAATTTTCACGGTTTTACTTGCAACTCTAGTTTTAATTGTGTATAAAAATTTTTTGTGCACGATTATTAAGAAGAATAGATATATTACAAGTCATTTTTAGAATGATTTCATATTTATATATATTTCTTTTGATTATAACTATTTATACTTCATACACTCTTGCTGTTATTCCTGATAGCAAATGTCCAGAAGAAGATGCCCTTCGAAAGTGTCTTAATCAATGTAACATTAAAGGACCTATTCATTTTCGAGAAAACACCTCTGCTTATGATGATGATGTTGATGTTGAATATAATAAACGCGTTATTTATTTTCCAGTAGCATTTGTTCGTCCGACAGATGTATTAGACGTTCAAAAGGTTATTAAATGCGCAGCAAAATTACATTTTCCTATTGTAGCAAGATCAGGTGGTCATTCTTATGAAGGTTATGGGATTGGAGATAAAGATTGTTATTTAGTTGTTGATCTTGTAACCTTGAATAAAACCACTATTGATATAACCTCACAAACTGCTGTAATTGGAACTGGAAATGTACTAGAATCATTATATTACAATGTGAACCAACATATATTTGCATTTCCAGCTGGAACTTGTCCTTATGTTGGAGTGGGTGGACTTATGTTAGGTGGTGTAAGTATTATTTGAAAACTTTATTATGTATTTTTTTATATATTTTAAACTACAAAAACTTATATAGATTATCTTTTTTCGGTTTAATAAGGGTATGGGATATCTTAATCGAAAATTTGGACTATCATCAGATAATATTCTTGATGCACAAATTGTTTTAGCAAATGGGACAATAGTTCACAGTGCCAGAAAACATCCTGAACTTTACTGGGCTATTCGAGGTGCAGGAAATGCTGGCTATGGAATTGTTACAACTTTAACTCTCAAGATACATCCTATTCAGAAGATTGTAACTTCTATGTTCCTTGATTACGATTTTGATCAGACTCCATTATTACTCTCAGTAATGAATAAATTGGGAAATAATCTTCATCGAAATTTAACTATCTTATTCAACATTGATTCCAATTCAACTCACATTCATGGGATTTATTTAGGATCTACAAGTGAATTGCAATCTCATATGCAAGAATTTATTAAATTATCTAAACCTAACAATGTAACATATTCTGAAAATGATTTGTATAATTCACTTACTAAAGGCACGGAAGGATCTAAAATAAAAGATTCTTATAAAGTAAAATCTTACTTTATTGATTCGAAAGGATTGTCTGATGAAGGAATTAAATCTTTAATGTCATTTATAAAAAATTTTGAATGTGAAATATATTCTGTTATGCTATTGATCGGTGGTGGAAAAGTTAATGAAATTAAGCGAAAAGAAACTGCATTTGTTCATAGAGGTTTTTTGTATCATATGGAAGTGAAAGTAACAGCACCTACTGAAATGTGTTTACAAAAGTTAGATAGTTTTTCTCAACAATTTCAACGAAATTATACTCATTATGAAAGTTATCAAAATTTAGCTGATAGACAATTAAATAATTGGCAACATAGGTACTTTGGTGAAAACTTCAAAAAACTAGTGACAATCAAGCGAAAATATGATCCTCATAATTTATTTCATTGGAATCAAAGTATACCTACTACCTTTTAGCACTGATTATAGTATCCCTTTGAAAATTGGACACTACTCATGAATTTAGTGATTTCATTGGCGGAGAAGTGGGTACTTCGTCGTGATTAAAATAGTGGTAATATATTTCAAAAATGATTTTGTATTAGGGATTTAAGATTTGTAAAATCAATTATTAAACATTAGACAAAGAACAGGAGGGATTTATATATTCTATTTATACTGTCTTCTATTTCCATTTGATTATTAAATTTGTAACATAAATGAATTAAATACGTTAACAATATTGTGTTATGTATGATATTAATAAAATATAAATTATCGGTTAAGAATAAAACGACAACTAATCTTGATTACATACATTTTTGTTTATTAGTAAAGTACCTCATTTAAAAATGAAGTGCTTTGCTAATAAACAAATAGTACGATAATATCAAAATTCGATCTCAGCATAAAATAGCATTACTAGCTATTTAGATGTTACAAAAATCCACAGACTCTGACAGTACCTCTCATTTTAATAAACCTTCTATGCTTATTTGGCATTGGAATAATCTAATCAATATCATGGCGAGATGGCTTTTTCAGGAAAAATTTTCTAAATTGAGCAATAACAACATATAAGCGATAAAATAAAATTTCATGTATTACTTTGTGCAATATAGTAGTGTTACACTCAGAAACTACCTCAGTATAACGGTTTTACTTTAGCGACAGATATACTATTCGATTGATAACAATCACCGATTTATGCTAAATAAAGAGCGGGGTTTATTGTAGTTACGCTTTTAAGAGGATTAAGGTATTCGCAGTTACGAAAGAGGCAAACGGCTAAATGTATATGAAGACAAACCGCCCTAGTATCACCCCAAAAATCAGTTACGTATCGGTGTTCAAAAATTTTTGGTATTGATATACCGATAACTTTGTCATATGATATAATATTGAAAATAATACCGATACACGAAACAAAGTGAATAGTAAATATTTGTTTGAGTGATTATGTAATTTTGGATGATCGTTATTTCATATGAGCGGATTTTTAAACAACCCCAAAAATTAAGGGGTATTAACCAACTAGTCGGGGTGAGAACAATCGATAGACTTTAATAAACTATCGATATATATATATATATAATATAAAATTGCAACATATCTTACGTTATCAAGTCTCCAAGCATTAAAATATTTCAAACACATTTCGAAGCACCTTTTCACGCGTATTTAGCAATTTTTAGATACAGATCCTTATATTTTCGTAATAAATTGGCAAATATCAGTAAATAATATTAAAATGCTTGAAATTATTTTGATTATAACACTATAAATAACGGTTACGTAATATCTGTTAAAAAATATACAGTATATCTTTTCAATTTTATTCTTTAATTGCGAATCTTTCAAACTGGTTTGTTTTAAAATTAAATTTTATAAATTTGTATCTTATTTAATTTCACATTTTTTAATTTTATATTTCTTTTAATTAGCGTCTATTTATTCTCATATTCTTACTATCCATGATGACAAATAATAATAATAATAATTCTTTGGAGCTTCACGAATATCCTATAAAACCTGAAATCGAATACAAAAACCTGACTACTGGCACATATCATTATATAATTCTTTCTGAAGGACACTATCCTCCATCACCTATTCTTGCTAAAAGTCAAAAAAAAAATAATAATTGTTATCGAATACCCGATAAATACAAGGCTAAAGTTAGTTGGGGAAAAAAAAGTAAATGGCGAGAAATTATATGTTCCATTGATTATAAAAATCAAGATAATGATAAAGAAGATAATCCAACAAATAAAAAACCTTGTTTTAAAATTGAATTTAATAATGGATTACAAGTAGTAGAATCTTGGAAAAGTGCAACGGATGCAGCAAATATATATTCTCAGGTAAAATTAATTAAATATTAATATTTAATTTTAATCAAATATGTAATTAACTATTTACCGGTATATCAAATATGTAATTAACTATTTATATTTATTAAGATATATAATCCAAAAGGAACTTCAATATTATCAGGCACTATAGTCTTTGGACTACAACTTAAATGCGTTGAACATAATAGAGATCTTTATCATCAGGCACGAGTTTTTAAACCAATTGAGACTTATAGTAATCCTACAAAAAGAGCCCGACTTGAACAAATCAGTAAAAAAGTACAAATTTATCTTAATAATGAAATATCACAATCATTTCATTATAATGATAAAATACAATTAGAATCACTTACTTTAG